GATTCGCCACTTTTCAGCTTGCCCTGCTCTGCGATATTCCGCGATGCAGCGCTGAACAGGCCTTGCATCCAGTATAGCGACTTGGAGTACTCGTTGGCCTGTACCGCGGAACTTCTGCGGGCATCCGTGGGTGCATCGAAACACTTTGTAGCTGTAGTCCAACGTTACAGGTATTTGAAGATCACTCATGCTAAAAGATAATGCAGCAAATATGTTAGTATATGCTTCATAAAACTGGAGCAATAAGACGTACGAGTTGTGTTTTTTCACGGTCCGAGTGTCTCGGGCTCTAAATAACCGATAGTTATCACAGCTATACTTCTCCAGCTCGTCACTTAGCTCCGTCCACGACGAATCAACAAGCCTCTGCATTGGTGGGGTCTTATTCCCCACACTCACGCGAGATCTTTCCAAGGCAACGCGCTCTGGATATGATTCCGTGCGTCGGACCCGAGGCGTGCGATCAGTATTCGGGTCTTGGAGGTCCAGCCGCACGTTTTCGACATCCGCGTCTTCACGTTCCTCGTCTGTTGGCGGCAACGAATCAGTATCCGCCACGCTCCCGTCATCAGTGCCATAACTCTCCATGCCGGACTCGCGGCGCCTACGCTTATCAGATTTTCTCGCGCGACGGGATCCTCTTTTTCTTCCTTCTCGAGTCTTTTGGTCTGCCTTGAGAGCTGCATCAAATTTGTAAGCACCAATCAGTCAGTAATCGTGCCGTGGTCTTATCAATACGAATTCGAGCACCAACCCCTTCTTTTCCGTGCGCTACCTCTATCGTCTGTCCATACCATCGTTTAAAGCAATGTGTTAGCGTTTATAGGAAACTATGCAATTCAAAACAATAAACGCTCACCAATCTCGTTCAAACGTTCTTGCAGCGTATCGCTCGAGTTGCTTGAATCCCTGGGAGGCTCGAAGTCGTCGTCTCCATCGTCATCTACGGAAGACGAACCGGGGACCGATACGAAGTCCCGTTTGCTGTCATCATCTTGATCGTCGCCTCCGGGAGATGAAATGAGCGCCTCCGGGAGATGAAATGAGCTCGAATTGGGCGGAAATTTCATCTTGCAAAAATGCATGTCAGAATAGCTCAGTTCATCGCACAAATAATTTAAAAAAGGTACCGTCAGTTATACTTGGGGCGTCTGCTTCCGTGAAGCGGTCCTGCTGCGCAGAGATCGCCTGTCGTAGGGGCGTCGGCGTATCAGTCATCGGGGAGGAAACCCGCCCGGAAACGTCCGCGATGCAGTGTTTGATACGTGGCGCGTTTTCGGAAATGAGGCCTTTAAATCCAACGGCCAGCATTAATCGTACTTAAAAATGTATGTACTGTGCGTATCGGTAATTTTTAACGAATTTAAAAATCCGCGTGTAAGTTTTGCAACTCTTAAAATATAACAATTACATTAAGGGTGCGCAAATTTTTAAGGCGCCCGTATTGGTACCTTTTATGAAAATTCCTTATGGTGCGTGAGCTTCTCCGGTTAAATCAACACAGCGTTGAGCCAACGAAGTTAGCGAATAATGAAAGCCTCCTTTGCATGTAATCCCTGAGACGAGGCGTTGTCAGTGGACTTGTCAGCAGAGGAATCCATGACGCCTCGACCCTATTACAATGCTGCTTGTTGCAGCAAGGGAAATACTACTGGACACCGGTGTGCAAGGCGCAGCCTTACAGGGACTTGAGGATGGCTTGGCGAGCACGAGGTAAGTTCGA